TGTCCATCATCATTACTACAGTTATGATCAGGTGTTAACCAAGCGTAGATGAATAATCAGTTAATCTTTATTTATCCCACTAAGATCTAAATTGATTTACAAACTGTTTGGTGTAATACCTAATGTGTCAGAAAATTATAGCTTAATAGATTTTTAAAAGTTTATTCAGGTATAATGTAATCTATAGAATTTTACCTGGCTACCTTTGTATGGAGCTCAACAACTTGGTGCTTTTCTAAGGCATATCTTCCAAAATGCATCCAGTCTTCATCTGAAGAGGTTAAGAGAATAAGAATTCATTACTTCTCTTGATGAAATTGTGTAGTGGAATTTGTAATAGGAGAAGCTTGTCATGGAAATGAAACAGGCTGAAATTTGACATTTAGGTGGGATGAGGCTGACACTTAAATTCTGCAATTTGCACTCATGTGAAGCTGAATAAAAGCAACTGTTTCACACGGCTGTGGAATGACAGCAAGCTCCTGTTACAGTTCCACTGGGTTACAGACACCTGAAAATACAATGAAAATGCTATCAACTTCTTACATTTCTACTTTAAAATGTCCCATCTCTACAATATACTGCAAATATAATGGAATCTATTTTTTAAAATTGCAGCTAAAAAGCTATAGTCACCTATGAGACAGCGGGTGCATCTACATGTTGCCCTACAGCAACGTTGTTACCGCACCGTGCTTTAGCACTTCCTTTCCTTCCTTCCTTATTATAAGACAAACCTCACATCTCTTAAACGGTAAAACAAAGCACTTAAAAATATAACTCAGATGACCCAAATGACAAAACGAATCCACATAAATTCAAAACTTTAAAATGACTTCACTTTGTCTCTTTATATACATTGGAAAACTTCTGACAATGGAAAACTGCAAGCTACACCTTACCAGCAAATCTCATTTCCAAAATTAATTTTGCCCCAATATAGATTATTCTAATCCTGCCCAGAGTGAAAAAAGTCTACACCAGGGATTTTGCCAGCATAGCTAGGTCACTCTGGGATCATTGTCATCTCTGACAGATATATCAGCAAAAGATAGGCCTGACCTAAGTATAACAATTTAGAACACTTTCGCATCCAAGTTCAGCTTATTTCTTTTCAGTGAACAATTTTATTCCATTTCATTTAAAATTATTTCAATTTTCAAATCAAAGTCCGTGTATGTCATGTAATCAAAAATACTTATCACATTTACTCAATTCCAAAATGAGATTTTTCTCCATTTAACAAGAGGAAAAAAGCCCCTTATCTTGATATTGAGTACAAGGCAGCTGGGCTGACTTCTTTCCCTAGCCTGATCTAGCGCTGGGGAGGCGAATGAGCAATCGGGCTTAGTTCCCTTCCCCAGTCCCAGGCAGCAGCACCAGCTTCCCTCCCTCATCTGGCAGGTAGATTGGGGGCCCTCAGCCCTGGATGGATGGGGCACAGCCCTGGCAGCCCTCCTGGGGTTGGGCCCTGATCTGCCTGCCAGATGAGAGAGGCTGTTTCAAGCTTCCCCATTATAGCCAATGGGTGAAATATCGAAACAGCATCAGAACAGCTGTTTCGACTCAAAATGAAATTTGAAACAAAACGCTGTTCCATCCAAACCTTGAAACTCAAGTTGAAACGGAACAGTGTCATTTTGCACAGCCCTAGCAAGTAGCTGCTGCAACTCTGGTTCTGTCTCCAACGCTAGGTTGGGGCTGGAGCCACAGCTTCTACCTGCCCCATTATTCCCTCTGCACTCTCTGCCTCTCCCCTCCCCACAGCCTCAGATCTGCCCCACACCCCACCCTCACTAACCCTTATTCTGGTACAGGCAGGCTTTGTCTGCACTGCAGTCTGAAGCACAGAGCACAGCCTCAGCCCTGACACATAGCAGCAGAGCTGGCTACATACCACTGCTATGGGGCTGGGCTAGGGCCATGCTCCATGCCATGGGCTGTAGCATAGATGGAGCCTGACTGCATGGACCAAAGATAAATGGGGGTGGGGGTAGCAGAGCTTCAGGAGAGGGGGAGACAGGGGGCCTGAAGCTGTAGTGGGGAGAGGCAGACATGAGGGGGTAAGTGGGGGGGGGGGCAAAGCAGTAGAGGGGAGGCGGCCTAACCCC